GCAAGTTCGAACTTCTTCCGCTCAGCCTCGTCATCTGTTGCCAGATCCAAGAACTTGACCTGAAACGGCCATGATCACAGTTTGGAAAAACTGACCCGAACACCTGCGAGGACCGCTGCTTGCTGACTGGATGCTCGGATGCAGCGGGCCTGCTGCACGAAGTTTTTCAAGGTCTCGGCATCCTGCTGTCCGGCGTTCACAGCCTCTTTCGCATGGTACCAAGCAAAGACGAAGGCGGTTCGATCGGGATCACGGTGGAGAGGCACCAGACTGTTCAAGTCGGGCAGCGACTTGGAGCCGCGCACTGAGATCGTTTCAAGAGCACCTCCCGCCGACCAGACATGCTTACCGTTATCATCCGTGGTGCGGTACCGGTTTTCGGCAAGGGTGCGGACAGCTCCTGGCCCGGGACATGACAACCTGTTTAAGCTGAAGCTCAAGCTAATAATGAGTCTGANNGTGATGTGGACGGTCCTAAGGCGGGTGGGATAGTCGCATGAGAGAACCGGAGCGCGTCGAAGCTACAGATGGTCACATTGCATTCGTATGAGGAACTCTTCTTCATCCACCGAAGGTATTCATCAGGATCAAACGCCTGCACTCCGGCAGCCGCTGTTGCCTCCAGGCCGGCGACTTCCTGCTAATTGGATCTGGGACTGTCTACGGGCCTAGGTTGTGGGTGGAAGCCTGTCAGTTGAAGTCGCAATCGTTCGGTTGTCACTGCATCAATGCATTGAGAACAATCGCAGTGATCTAAAGTTAATGTCCCGTCCTTGAACTCGGCGGCGAGGAAGTTGATTGCTGATTGCAGAAACTTCACACAAGGATGATTACGGAGTTCGTCCGACAGCTTGCTTTGCTTGCCACTCACACGACTCGACGGTTGGGAATCTGCAGCAGGCCGCTTGCTCATTGTGAACACCCCGGTGGTCGTCGGCCCAACTCTGAAAAACTAGCTATATAGCTGATTGAGCCACAGAGTCGACAGATGTCAGTCAACTCTGGGGGGACGTGATTTGGCCAAGAGACGGCAGACATCAGTCAACTCTGGAGACGGAAACTCTGGGGCTGAAACGGGTATNNTACCAATGAATCCAATACCCACTCGCCCCGGAGGTCAAGGACATCTGTCAACTCTGTGGCAGGATTTGCCCACAAACCCAAATTCCAGAGTTAAAGGATGGCATACATGGCAAATCTGAGTCGTTATTTAAGAAGTTACTAGTACGACAGACCTAACCTACGCCTGCAGAAGAAACGGATTGCATTCTTGAGTTCGTGAACCTCGCAGCCCGACACACAAGTCACCCGCACACACACACACACAC